GTTATCTTCTTCTTCCGTCTCTATTCTTCTGTGAATGTCACCAGTCTTCCTATTATCTCGGGTGATGAATTTTATCACTACGATCTTCTTTAACACACATTCCATTTGTGGCACGATTTTGGCTGGGAAACCAATGCTTTCTAATGTATGAATGGTAAAAATATGAGAATTTCTTGTCTGTTGGAAAAACCTTGGTGCTTCTGTTGCCTTGTACCTCTTGAAGTCATGCTGGTGAAGTTAATGGGTGTTTTGTGTTGTGGCTGTCTGCTTGTTGTGTGTCCTATGATGGATTGGCACCTCATGCAGAGTGTTATCCTGCCTTAAGCCCTATGCTTCTGGGATGGACTCTGGGCTGTTGTATCAGTACCAGGAATAAGCTGCTTTCTGCTAATGGGTGCATAAAAATAGCCAGGTTAACATTTCACATGCATTGCATTGATGTTTTCCCTTACACAATAAACACCTGGATGTTTCCTATATGCTCCTTGTAGCTGGCTGTACTAAAAGAACCCTTGATGTGTCTCATTGTCAAAATTGCCGTTCTCTTTTTATTCCACAAATGTGTAAATTAAGTTAAAGCCAAAGGATATGACGGGAAGGTATGCAACATTTTGTTTTGTCACACTTTGTCCATGTGGTAACTCCTAGATCATTCCAAAGTTTCATCTGTTCCAAATTACACTTGACTTTACCGTTTGAGCAGGCTCGTCCTTTTAAAGAAGTTGGTGTGATGTGGTAAGTGGTGCATCACAGATCCGGATGGACATATTTCTATCTGTAAACATGTGTTGTTTTATACATTAAAACAAAGGGTATCTGCAATTTTAGACAGATTTCCTTTCATATTTGTACCAAATAAACCCCAGCGTGAAAGTTACATCTTTCTTTTGTTTTCAAGTTCAGTGAAAAGGGATGGTGATAGTTACAGTATGTGGTTTACAGTATTGTTAGTATTGTTACAAGGCTGGGGCATGTTTATAAGAAAAACAGAATGAAGATAGCCCGAACCAAGTGAGTGAGCAGGGCCTGCCAGCTTCTCTCTTATTAAGGGAAATACAAATAAAGCCTTCTTTCTCTAACTTAGGAAATAGCTAAAATACATTCCCAGTTTCAGTGTGTTTATGGTCACAAATCTCCTGTTTGATTTAGTAGGGTTACTTCTGGGGTTGACTCGTGCAGAGATATTTAACCTTCTTAACTGAAGTAGCATGGGAAAGGACGTCCACATAGACAAAAGTCGTGAACTGGGATAAAGTCAAACATGTTAAGCATCTCTTCTGGCAACAGAGCTGAAGATAAGGCAGAAGAATCGCAGAAAGCTGCAAAAGGCTTCAAATGGCTGCAACACCAGCTTGTTCCATGCACCCACAACCTTAAGGGTAAAAAAGTGCCTTCTGTTCTCGGTTTTGAAATCCACTTCCCCACAGTTTCCACTTGTGCCTGCTGGTAAGGACTGTGCATGGACGCCCTGCTGGACCTCCCTAATTGGGTGGGGTACCTCTAACTGCAGTTGTAGACAGAGCAATAGACAGGTATTGCAGCCTCAGAAGATGGAAAACAAATGCAGTAACACAATGTTGGATCCTCCATCCATCAAACATCAATATAAGCCAAAGAACCATACCCCAAAAGAGTGAAATTTCAACAGATTGTTTGGTAGAGAAAAATGAGTCAATGCAAAAAACAAGCACAGTGCTCATCCCCTACCTTATTAAAGTGCTCAGGTTGTTGAAAGTACAAAAGAACAATTTAAACTCTGTTGACTGTCTTGCTACACTCCGCAGCCTTTGGCATCTTATACTGTAGATTTGTCCTGTCTCCAATTCATTAACATCACATTGGGTAAAATCAGTGAGTAGAAGGGCAGGAGTACTGTATACATACAGTAGAAGAGTGCTGAGCTTCTTTGGTTTCAATAACATGGAGTCTGGGCAGGTCAGCAATAAGAATCAGTGAGCAGATAGATGAAGGTGGAAGGCTAATGCTACAGAAGACAGAGGACTTATTGGTTATGCATTGAAGGAGAGGGTAGGGATTTTCAGGCTTCAGCTGATTTAGAGTTCATGACTAATAATGCATTCCTGTCCTGACCAGCTAAAATCACATCCTACTTCCAGTCTGTCAAAAAGCCTGTGCTTGCTTCACTACAAAATAAACAGTGCCATAGGGTGTTTTCAGAGATGGGCCAGAAGTGCAATTAACAACTAGGAATCTTTATCACAGCCCTCATTTTCAGAAGATTTGTTTGTGCCTACTTGCACCTATTTATTAATTACTGGAATCTGGAGAGTTTTAAAATCCCCCCTTTCCCGGAGATGAATAAAGTATTATGAATTGCATTAAATTGGATTTGGAGAAAAACTAATACATTGATCCAAAACAATCTCATCTTAAACTTTTAAATGGTTCTACCTTCATGTTATCTATCTATCTATACAATGATTTGTTTAATGAATCTTGATTGTGACATTACAGAGTCCTCAATCCAACTTGCGGTACAATGTGTACAATAAAGTAGTAAAACGTGGAAATGATAATGTTCTCCTACTCTTCTGTCCTATAGTCATCAGATTAAAATTAGGCTGAACATTCTACCTGCCTGTCTCAATTCAAGTATTAGATTTTATAGAAACCTTTTTACTGTCTCAATTGGTCAGTAATGATACTTGTACACAGATAATTGCTTATACAGTATCTTGGAGAAGATTTATTATCTAACTACAACAACAAAACAACTCCTTTGTGGCCAAACTTTAATCTTGGACAACACAACACAATTTTATATGAAAAATTAGCAGAACAAGTTTGAGAAAGTAAATCTAGTGATGTATTTAATATATATATATCTCAAGAGTACTGTATGGTTAAATAATGGAGTTCATTGTGCTAACATTGTGCTGTTTCCAAGTCATTGCTTCCGATTGTATACGACAATCTCCAGATTCAGGACTTATTTAGGTACAGTATGTACAGTACCTGGTTCTGAACTAACGGTCGTAGTATCACTTCCGTACAAATCAACACTTATCCTATGAATTTTCTACTGGTCCCATTGAATACCGCTCCCTATTAAATATTCACAATATGTTACCATTGTTTTTTAAAAAAGCTCTTCTAAATTCAGTATTTGCCAGTCCTGAAACGGTATAGTGACCAGTATAAAAAATTCCAATTATTATTTTTTCCAAAAAAGCCCAAAGAAAGGGTCCCGAAAATCAATGCCGAATGAAAAAAAAAAAATGAATATTTTTGAAACATTTTTTTTTTAATTCAGATAGTTGGTAAACATATTAACACAATCCTCTGAAATACAGGGGACGTCAAAAAAGATTATTCATGCGCTTGCACGGCAATTCACTTACGGAATTGGGTCACGACTTGAATTGTGAAGTTTCCCCAGGCGCTCAGATTGGACTTGAAACGAACCACGAATGGAGGAAAGCGCTGTGCGAGAGCAAATCAGTAAATTGATGGCGCTAAATGTTTTATTTGTAAGTGGCAGACGATATTTTAAAATCCCGTTTTTTAGGTTTTTTCGTTCTTTCTGTAGTCAAATTGAACACGAATTCCTGAATTGTTTTCAGTTTTCTTACTACATTTTCTTTCCTTTCACCGATGGTGCAAGTGTACATCTTCGGATTTACAGCACTGCCAACTTGCTATGCACGGAAACTTCATACAAAAAGTACTCGAATTGCACTTATTTGCCTACACAAATAACTTCATTTTCGTGTTGCGAGGGCCATAGTAATTCGTTTTTCTTGCTTGGCATTCTTTTTTGCAAGAACCTGGGGAACTCTTGCCTTTCAATTCACATTGGCTTATCTTTTAGTTTAATATTAAAAAGACTACACAGATAAAGATCTGAATAATAAAATCCCACTGCTTGTATTAAAAAAAACATCAGGAAACAACGGTTCCGTTACAACGTGCACTTTTGTGAAAATATGTTTTTATTTTCAAAATTTGATATTCTTTTTACAAACAACATTTATCTTTATTTCGGTCTCTGAATTGTTGTAAATCAATTGTGAATGAAGAGCAACCGATTAAATGCGTATTTAGAGGGAAATACAAACCCTAATAGACATATTCTCATTGTCATTATTTCTATTTTTTTTATATCAGTGTCTTTCTACATTGACGGTATCGAACTGAACTTTCGTTTTAATTCTCATACATTATTTTATGATGAAATGCGCTTGCGAATCCGACGGCAAGGTGTGTCGAGATTTTTTTGGGTGAACCCTGCACATACAGTATAGTCCACTACTAATGAAAGCACTCCTTTTTTTACAAATAATCAGATACGGTCATTTTGTACTGACCCCCAAACCAGTATTTGATTCCTTGGTGATGATGTAGCTTTATTCCCCACCTTGAAATTTAGTGTTTATCCAGATGACCAGTTCCCTTACAGAATGTTATATGCTATTAGGTTAAACATAAGATGTACTTTCTGAAAAAAAGATGTGTGGAAAACATCACACTTTTCTGTGGAAAAACTGACAAACATTTTATGTTAAAATTAGCAGACAACACCATAGCGTTTAATTAACGTCTATGTAAAAGCATTGCTACTAAGACTTTAAAGACAAAAAATCTGCTTTATTTGGGTTTGTTTATACTGATCTTGATGCTAATGCATTATGCGGAGAAAACTTTAGAATTGTTAAAAAATCTCAAATTAATAATATATCTATTCATGTTGGGATAAAGTTGTCGTTTTGGGCCATAATAGCGCAAATTTAATTTGCTTTCGTACTCGGGAATTAGCCGGATAATAAACAGAAGAAGATGCAAAACCCCTCTCCCTGTTGAAGGATAACTGTCTTTCACGGATATGTGAGCAAAACTAAATTTATAAACCAATCACAAGCACACCAGTTCGGTTTACCACAATGCCGTCTCATTTCTGCATCATATTCCTAAAGAGTTAAGTTCTCCAGGAGCTGCTGTTCTCTTCTTTCTGATTGGTCAAAAGTTTAGAGCTGGGTTGGACTGCAGTCCGTTTGCACTATTTGCTTGTATGAGGGACTGCCGCACACACTGGTATTACTACAACACCAACTTTTAACGCGATTTCGTCTCAAATACACACCGGGGAGGAGAGATACGGTCACGCACAATATTTACGTTAGAGATCTAGTGGAATTAAGTGGGTTCCGAGACTACGATATTCAGAATAACGAGGAGCACCGGGACCTGAACTGAAGCCGGGTGTGCACTTTGGAAGCAAGCGAGCATTTGTACGTCTTCGGAAACTCTACTCTTCGGAAACTATAACTTTTTTTTTTCAGTGCATGCTCGAGAGTGGAAGGTCCTGCAGTTATCTTTTCAAGCTCAAAGGGTGGCAGAGGAAAACGGGATTCTCGTGGGGTTAGCGACTGCCACAAACAGTTGTTTTTAACTGGAGTTCGCTGTCAAAAGTTCAGTTTGATTTAGTGCTCTCCTTCCTTCTCGTGGAAGAGTTGTGACTGGAAAACAACGAGATGCACATGGATCCACAGAACTCAAATGGTGTATTTTAAAGAGAACTACAAAGAGTGTATTAAATATGGAAAACACGCTTTCTCTGACAAAAGAGCTCGTGTTAAACTACAGAGATTGATAACTGCAGGTAAGCATTCTAAACAATCACATGGAATATTTAACTTTTTTAATAGCATGTATGGTCAAATACTCTGCTGTGAACTGTGATTGCATAGTTTCAGGCACAAACCTGCACAACTGTCGCCTTTCTTAGGAAAGGGTTTGAAACCAAGCAGCGGTTTTCGAAGAAAAGTGAATTCCGCACATTTAGTTGAGTTCTTGAAATTTCTTTATCCAGTGATGTCACATACAGTATGCTCGTCTGGTTCGTATGACTGGACACAGATGTGGTCTTATAAACTATTGAGGTTAGTAAATTAATGTTTCGCCTTGTAACTGTTGGAATACCCACTTTATTATGATTATTATTAATTAACCCGATCTGAGTATAATTTTCTTGACTGCAGTGAATACAGCGGTATAAACAGTACAGTAGGATGTATCATGTCATAGACTCATTACAAAACTGATCATATTAAGATTTTGGAGTATGGTGCCTAGTAACTAACCGAATAAAACACAGTTCCGTAAACTGTCAGAAAAAAGAGAACATCTATCTGAAATCCGTATTCCTCTAAAATAGATTTTAGAGACTGTACCGCTATTTCTTAGGTAATACCGGGCAGAGTATACAGTACAACAAATCACAGTGGTATAATTGTGACAGCATGTACAATCATGTTCATAATTCGACATCACTCGCTTCGACAAAACGCATTTTTACGCAATACTGCTTTGTTAATCAAAATAAACAAACGGGTAAACAAAAAGAAATTTTAATACACCGTCACTTTCTTTCGAATAGCTGCACTCCCAGAGGTTGATAACAACAGGGAGTTAATAATCTGAAGAGGTTTCACGCTGGCTGCGCATAAAGCAGCTATCTCAAAGCAGGATTATGCTTTTTCATGCCTTTTAAAGAGCTTTCGTTTCAAATTAGTACATAATGACAATGTATATTTCTTTGCCTTGTTAAATGAAATTAAATCGTATTGTTTTGAGTCCCTAGGGCAAAAAGCCTTCGATTTGTAGAGTTAAAAGAATTCGGATTTCATTAAAATATCGGACCCTATTTTGAAAACGTGAAGGCGTTTAAATCCATTTTTTTCCAATGAATATATAAACTTACATTTTCAGAATCTATAGCCATTTGCGTGATAATTCTTTGCTTTAATGGAAAACGGTTTCAATAATAATTTTGATTGTGTTGTATGGATTCAAATGTGTTTACTGCTTTTGACAATTTTTGAAATACTGTTAGAAATCGGTTTCCTCCGTAATCAAATTCAATATGTAGCTGGTCCAAATTACACCAGACAAACAACTTGTGACATTTATTGGAAGTAATAATAGAATTGACAGTGTTTTCGAAATAAGAACAGTATCAACAACCAATAATAATCAGTGACAAAGAGGTTGTGCAACTGGGATACTGTCCCATTGTAAAGATAAAGAGAAGGAATAACATTTTTGCCAAGAGGAAATTATCGTTTCGGGAGATCAGTATGGGTGTTGAAACGTTTATTTCGGTTGTTTGTTTTCTAATTCTTGCGCATATTTCTTAGGACAGTTTTTCCTTGTCACTTTTGTTTTTAGATTCATAAATCACAAGTTTTCCAGTGTCAGAATGGGACTTTTCCAGATAGCGCTTATCGTTCTGGAGATGATTGTGTTCTCAGACTGCGCAAGGGGTAAGTGAAAAATGACTCATTTCACGGACGATACAATAGTTTGATTCAAATGCTATCTGGTGCTGCTGATACATCTCAATGAATTGTTTTACAATTAGCTTTCTTTTCTCCCAGATGACACTCCTCAGTGTCTCTGTGTATTTGACTTCATTTGTGTTTTTTTTTTAAGTTTAGCAAGTGTGTCTGCAGGCTTTTTATCTGTAGAAATACTAGTTTATTTATCAGTAGAAATAAGGTCTATAGGTTTTTTTATGGAGACAGAAAAGAAGAGCGAGTTTCAGAAAAATTAAAGATGAAATAAATCCCTAAGTCAGCAATAGCATTTCTTTGTGGATCCCATTTATCTCTGGCCTTAATCCTTTTTCAGCTCTTGTGCTGTGTGCATTCCCCCAGCTAAACCAAACAAACATCAGCCTCTCTTGGGACAGAGAGCAGCACACTCTTTTTGACACCTCGCACAGCAGTTTGAACAGTTATCAATGCCCAATGAAGAGGTGTGTGTGTATGTGGTGTGAGAAGTGTGTTTGAGGTGGAGGATGGAAAAACGTGTCCCGTAAGCTCAGAAAGAAAAAAAAATGCCAGTCCATTCCTTGTTTATTTCCAATGTTGTGGCTTGTTTCAGGTTGTGTTCAGGAAATTGTTTGGTACTAGTTGTGAAATCTCAATGTGAAACTAGCATCATCCTCACGTCTGTCAGGGCTGTGAGCATGACTTCTGTATTTTACTGTGGTTGGTGTAAATCTGCTGGCGACGCCACCTCCCTGTGCCACCAAGCTTCTTCTGGACCCAGTTAGGGATTTGACTTTTCCCATCTGTGGAAGTGTTTGGAAACAGCACTGCTCCCCTTTTGTGTGCCTAAGCGACCACTTGTTCAGGCAACTTAATACTGTTGCACAAATCATGTTTTGCCAGTCATAGCACAGAAGGTGCTAATGTAATGGCCCGAGACTGTGAATGTAATAAAATAAGACATGGAAATAACACACACCAGGGAAATCAGACACGATTTATTATGCAACATTTGGAGGGAAACAAGTGGCCTATTGGTATTATTTTAAAGCAAAGCCAATTTTTGTGCAGAAACAGAATGAGAAAGGTAATCTGTTTATCTGCTCAAAATGCGAAGAAAGAGTCAGCCCGCCGAATCTTTCTGGTCTTCCACACATCCTTGTCCTCAGACACAACACCCTCCTTGCTTCAATGTGAGATGGTGCCTCCGCAGATAACATCGCAAATGTTCTAACAATGATGCATTCAGAGGGATGACTGGGCTCCATTTTAGTGCTTAACTAAAAGCAAACAAAATGTGAAAACTAATAAGATTAGACTGGCAATTATATTTGTTTGCCAGGCAGTGTTGCAGGTTTAGCGCCAGGGAGAGAAACATATATGTGAAAAAAGAAAACATGCAGCACTCCTGATGAAATCTAATGGTTTATTTATGGTCCATTGCCAGACTGGATTTTTTTCTGCTATAAAATCTTGCTGTTCATCAGATAGGAAAATGTGTTCAGAGGTGTTTTGGCTGTTGCTTCATGTATTACAGTCTTTGAAAGAAAGGAGGGTGAAGAGAGACAAAAGTCTTACTTTGCATCTGGACGGTCAAAAACAGATGCTCTTTACATTTTTTCCACATATCTAATCTTTATTTTTTGTAGTTATTGCACTGCTCTAATTTGTTTTTAAACTACAGCCTGGTTCACCATGTAGCCTGCTCAGGTGTGAAGCTGGAGTTAGACAGGAACCGCTAAGACCATTAGAGTTGACTTGGACAGGCCTGACATTATTTTGAAAGTGTTAATAATAACGACTTGCTTTTATGTATTGCCATTTATTCTGAAGAATCCCAAAATATGGTGATAATGCTGCTGTATAGTATATACAGATGGAATTACAAAGTATACTGTTTTGAACTACTAAAATGTGGGAACTGTTTAACACTGACTTAGTGCAAATTTTCAGTCTTTTCTTTTTATTTTGTATAGAATCTTTCTCGATGGGCACAATGTCTTTAATCTATTCCAGTGGTTCCTGAACACCAGTCCCAGGGAACCATGATTTTCTGTTTTTCAAGGTCTTAACTGGAATAGAAGTGATTGGACATTCGTAGAAGGAGAACGTTTGCGAATTGTGGGAGGGTGTGAAATATTGTTGTTCCCATCTGCATCTGTTCATCATTAATTGATGACCTATTAAGAGCCATTGTGACAGAAATTTGTGAGCAATTTCTTAATGAATAATCTGAGGATACAGAAAGTTCTTTATTCTAAAGTTGTTAGAAACAGTATGACAGAACTGAGGTACTTTTGAATCTGTTGACTACAGAACGTGCAAAAACAGATGTGAAGTCTTAAAATGCAAGCAGATCAATTGAAGGCACCTGTTACCTTTGGCAATTAAGAGCTCAGTCGGAAGGAAAAGTAGTAGAAACTGGGATACACCAGCACTTGAAGTGGGAAACACTGCTCCAGGTGTGTATGCATTGTATTGTCCCCAGTGCAGTGCAAAGTTCATGTAACATTGTATCCCCTATGCTTTAATGCAGCTTTCATTACCTGTTTTTCATTGAACATTATGCAGTGTGACCACCTTATAGCCTGATCTCATCAGATCTCAGGGTAGGACCTCATCGGCATTGGGATCAGGATTTTCCAGAAAAAGCCAGGTTGCCGCTGCACTGGTCCTGTTTGTGGACCAGTAGGTGGCGCTCTTCCCTCGGGACCAGAATATCAACATACAGTAATGACCATTATTTTTGTTGCTTCTATAATGAGCAATGTGACCTACCTTTTCTAAACTGCTGTTGATTATCTGTTATATCTTAAGACCATACTGATGAACCTCTGGTTAATTATTGTTCACATAAACCTACCGTAGCTGTAATAGATGTAAGACTAAAAGTATGTAATTACTTGATCTAATAATGTCAGTTTTGTTGTGGTTGGGTACTATTAATGACTAAATTAGTCATTTTCCCTGCCTATAAATAATATATCTTCTTTTCTTAACTGCTATTTACCATTCTTGTACCTGTAATATTCCTGGCTTTTCTTTGCTGATATTATTCAATTTAGAATATTGTCTTTACTTCCTCTGAAGTATGTTGTGAGCTTCTTTCTTGGTCAGTCCCTGTGAAATGTTTGTTTACTCTTTCTACATTGCAATATTTTTTATCTTAATCTTCAACTTTTAGATATACCTCTTCACTTATGTTTGTAATTCATTATACTCCATTGTAAGCTAGTTCCCGTTCAGTCATTTTATAATGCACTTTATTTATCAGCATACAGTTTAAGGGTGATTTTCTGCTTTTCCCTCTTTATACGTGCAGTAACAAAGGCCTTACACAGCTACATTTGAAACAGCATTTGTTGTCAACTGCATAACATCATAGAGGTTTGATTTATGGGCTGTTATGTGAAGCCATCAAATGTTAATCCTCCAGAATGATTTGCTGGCTTGTCAAAGGGTTCCATGAGAGACAGTGACAGTGGCAATGTCAGAAATAGTCAATTAGGAGACAAGGTATTTGAAGCATTGTGATGACATTCCCTACCAGTTTTCCTCTTATGCTGAAATGGTGCTAATTGGACAAAATTAATTAAGAAAAAATATGCTTTATCACACCAGTGTGAATCAAGAAGTGTGAATCAGTACTGTGTGCTAGTAACAAGTAAATGCAGTCTACTAGATGAACACTGAACTAAAGGAATTTCATGCATGAAGGCTGAACACGTTTTGGAGTGTCAAAAGTATTGTATTGTTTGCTTGCAACTAACAAAGAAAGAAGCATTATCAGTCAGGACATCCTAGTCCTGACTTAGAAATCCTAATATCAGTCATTAGATACATTGTCAAAATCTGTTATCTCTCTGTTAGCGGTAGGTGGACCTTTAACAGAAAATGCATTTTGTTTTTTTTAACCATCTTCGATGCCATCAATTTTTTAAAATCATATTTCCTGAATGTAAATGGAATTACTTTTTTTTACCTCCAGTGTTTCACTTGCAGCCACTTAGGTTGGACTATTAATTTTCGGACAGTCTGAAAATTTGACTGCATGCTGCTGTCTGCTGAACTTAAATAAACACAGCCTAGACAGGACTTCTGGAAACGTTTGGATTACACAAGCTTGCCATTGTACCATCAGTTGCACAGGGACAAACCCTTGAGTAAAGAGGACAACATAACCTAATTATTTCATTAAAATATTTCCAATTTTCAGGAAGGACTTTAGCCAGTAACTCAGGGCTGTGTCTTGTATGTGGTATTTGAGCTTGAGTCCAAGTTGTGTACACAAACACAGCTAAATTGGGTGCAGAGTTGTGGCTGAATTGCACACTGATTGTGAAGAAATAAAAGCACTACCATAAGAAGCTGAAGTTTATTGTTTATTTTTTATCTGAAAAATGAACCGCACTTCATCCTCTGGAATGCATGTGATGGTTCATTTGGAGGATATTGGTTGTCCGACCCCATGATCGAAGAGTCTAGTAATACAACAGCAATATTTTTGTAGAGGCACTGAGAGTGAATGCTGCGTGTTTTAATGTAGGAGCTAAACCAAACACATTCCACTTTGGAAACAAGCACACATGTCTGCAGAACAATAAGGAGTGAAGAGTTTTCAACTTCAAGAAGGACTTTGAAACCTCCGTGTGATGAGCAGAAATATTGGAAGAACAGATCTGGGTTTTCGATTTTTAGTTATGAAATCTGTTTTAGAACCATTGGGTATTTAAAGCTCCTTGAACAATCTGCCCCTGCTGCCTCTTAATAAAAAAAAGATTTGTTATTTACTCGTGTTGTTCTGAATGCACGCAGAGTGATGGAAGATGACGCAAAATGACACATATTTTCCATCATGCTCCACAGCTCTTTTAAACAAGGCATCTTATACAGTTCACACACTCTGCAGACCGAAATCAAAACTTGTTGATCATTTTGGATTAAAGTGAAACTGAGAAGCAATCCCCCCCAGTCTAACTTATGTGTGCCTT